GGGTGAGGGCTTGTGCTTCACAGGGGCACTCCAGTCCTGGGTCCTCTTGTGACACCAGTGGTAAATTAACTCCAGTAACAATAGTCATGGCTACTAATATGTGCTTACTGCTATTTGCCAGGCTCTGTTCTCAGAGAACACCATATAGTATCTCATTTAATCCTCCCAACAACCCTTAGATATAGATACTATTATTCTCCCCCATCACAGATGAGGAAACCAAGGGTCTCTCCTCAAAACATTACATCTCACAGGTTGCAAGGTGCCTTTCCAGCTCCTTCTTGTCCCTTCTCACCCCAGTCCTCCCTCCTGGGCAATTGGTTCCAGAATTTCTGCTCTTGGACTATACTGCTCCTCATTTAAATGTCTTCATCAGTGAAAGCTATTTGCTGAACTACATGCTGCCTGGAGCCTTTTATAAAACAGATCAAGGAGGAGTTGTTCTAGCTGAAGTGAAGGAGGGATACGCGGGTGTTAAATATCCCCAGAATAGATGGAACTGGGTTCCCTTCGGGGGTCACAGCCCGCCTGACACCTTCCTGGGCCCCATGTGCTCAGGGCCAAGAGCATCTCACCTTGCAGGAGGATCTTGGTCTCCGACTCCGTGTCTGGGACTTGGTCGCTGAGGTCTGCAGCAGGGACCTCTTCTCGCTGCTCTCCATCTGCCAGATGAATGGGAGACCCCGATGGCACCAGCCCCCTCCCACCACACCCTGCACCACCCCCCAGGTCCCACCCCCTCTCCAGTGGCTGACTCACTTTTACCCAGGTGTTCTGGATCCAGTGTGCGAATGGCCACGGTTTTGTTGACTCTGATTCCTTCCGGCTGGATGGTGTTGGGGGCAGGAGGGGTTGGGTGAATGAAAGGACAGACAGACAGACAGCTGGTCAGCAGGGCACTGTTGTTCTGGGGATTACTGTAGCAGAGGCATGATGGCATTCACCCTGTCTTAGCTGTGTGACTGGGAGCCAGTCACTCAGCCTCTCTGTCCCTCAGCTTCCTTCCTTATAAGGAAGAGGCAACACAAACACCTACTTCATACTGTTGTCATGAGAATTAAGTTAGAAATTAATAACAAAATAACAAAACCTTGTGAAATCTTCCTATGTGCCTAGAGGCTTTCTTTACTTGGTTTAACTCATTTGCTCTTCACAATGTCAACTTAAAAGGCAAATATTTGCCAGTTATTTTACCCTCAAAATGAGTTTACTCGGGAATAGCCAAAGGAATTGCAATTCAGGGCCAAAGAAATTGCAAGTCAGGAGGTGCCTGCTACGGCAAACCATAGACAAATCCAGCTAACAAAGGAGAGGAGCTTCTTTTATAGAGAAAAGGGGGAGTAGGGAGGGGCTGTTCTAAAGAAAGTCCATTGGTCGAAAGTAACAGTTCAGGGCAGCGGCGGCTTCTCATTGGCTGAGCTGGGGCTTTTCTCACTGGCTGAGCTGGGGCTTTTCTCATTGGCTGGACTGTTGCCCAGTGCCGAGAGAAATCTTCCTTCTGTAAAGTCATTTACTTCCTCTCCAAGGTACAAGCTTAAATCTCTTCCTGTTTGGTGTAATTGACCATGTGTGATAGGGCATGAGAGCTCCCTCTACAGGCCTTCCTGACTCCAATATAGTTACAGTTTCTTTTATTGATTTCCACAAGAACCCAGTGGGGGTGGGTATTGCTATTACCACTCCCATTTTAAAGATGGGGAAACTGGGGTACAGAGAGGTGAAGTAACTTGCTCAAGGTCACACACTACAAGGTTTGAACCTTGAAATCTGGCTCCAGACTCTGTTTTTAACCCACTGCTTCTCGATGAGATAAATAAAATAAATTTTTAAAAATTAAATTAGGGCCGGCTCCGTGGCTTGGCGGTTAAGTGCGCGCACTCTGATGCTGGCGGCCCGGGTTCGGATCCCGGGCACGCCCCAAGGCACCACTTCTCCGTCCAACCCGAGGCCGAGTCCCACGTACAGCAACTAGAAGGATGTGAACCTATGACATACAACTGTCTACTGGGGCTTTG